TAAATTTAATAATATAGAAATAATAAATATTTATATTATATGTGAGATATCAAAAAATTTAATATTTGGTAATTATAAAAAAATGAATTTCAAATATAATTAATGTAATAATAATACTATAAAATTAATGTATTATTCACCTCATTATCAGCAACAAGGACTATGTTGCTGATAATGCATTATAAGCAACATAGTATTTGTTGCTAAAAAGTGGGGTACATGCACTCCCCTTAACTTTTAACAACATAAGCCATGTTGCTGAAAATATGCTTTTAGTAACATGGCTTATGTTGCTGAAAATGAGGTTAAATTTATCCTCATCTTCCGGCTGTCGGTTTACCATTGTTTTTGAACAACATAAGCCACGTTGCTGAAAGCATGTTTTCAGCAACGTGCCTTAAGTTGCTAAAAACTCATTACCACTTACCGATAATTCTTGCCAGATTCCGGTGAACAATTTCACCAATATGGAGCACATTGCTAAAACTATATTTTCAGCAACGTGCATTATGTTGCTGATGTATTAGCAACAATTTGCTTGTTGGTGATGTAGTAGCCAGCAAGGCTTCTCCAACAAGGCTTTTACCAACAAAAACCATGTTGCTGAAGGACTTTCAGCAACATGGGAGGCACTTTCAACAACATGAAAGCATGTTGTTGAAGGCTTGAATTTTAGTAGTGAAAAAATCAAACTATATATATTCTTAATATATATGCAAGATCTATATGAAGTATTATAAAAAAAGAAAAATATTTAACAACTCTCTCTCTCTCTTTTAATCAGTCTTTACCAATTCTTTCTTTTATAATTGCTTAATTTTCAAAATTTTATTTTATGGTTATTTTTCTTCTCTCTTCTCTCATTTCCAATTTCTTATCATTTTTGTCAATTCCTATTTTATTCTTTTAACTTGTATTACAAACTATTTTAATATGTTAATATAACTGCTCAAATTAAAGTTAAAAAAGAAAGATATTTGAATGAGATTTTAGTGCAATTGATTGCATATTCCCAAATACATATGATAGTAATAATGGATATATATACAGTTTAGAATGAATGTGGAGAAGAATTTATATTTAAAATGATCAAAAAGTTAATAATAGTATAATATAAATAAAATAAAAAACATAATATCTTACAAAAAAATGCAATATTTTCATATATATTGATATTTATCAAATTCATACTTTTGTTATTTAGTTCATTGTACGGATTAATATAATTATTGCTCTTAAGAACTCCAATCCCATGAATAAAGTTTTGTCCTTGCCACACATAAAAAATAAATAAATAAATAAATAAAACCATTAATAATCTAAAGAGAAAAGAATGCATAAATTTCAAACAAATAATGTTACAAAATTGTTTCAAAAGAACAATTATCATATCTTCTATAAAAAAATTTATGAACAAAAAATAAGACTAATAAGAAAAATAATTTATACAATAATATACATTTTTTAGACTAAGATGAAAAAAGACATAAAATAAAAATATAATATTATATTTAGATACAGTATGAAATAGGAAACAAAAAGAAAAATAATATTTGGACTCACCATATTAATAAAAAGACATTGAAGAAATAAAGAGGAAAAATGTAATATACTAGTGTAGAGAAAAGTGAGGGTTTATATGTAGGTGAACAAGAAGATGGAAGGGCATGAAGAAATATTATTTAGTATTTAATGTAATCTTTTATTTTTTTTAATAAAATGTATATTTCTCTTTTAAAATAAAAAATAAAAAAAATTAATGTATAATCAATGCATTATAAGGTAAAATAAAACTTCTCAATTGTACATGAAGAAG